CTTTTTAATATATTCATTATAATTTATTATAAAACACTTGCCTCTTTGTTTGACAGTGAATTTTCTTCGACTTTCATACCGAAACTTTAATATAAAAAAAAAAAAGTGATACAAAATGCATTTTTTCCCCCCTAATATTCCCTGCAATTTGTCCATACAGGAATTCTCGATAAATTGTTCTGTATTTTGAAAGATCACACAGACAGTATGTCTCCACAGAGACAACACCGATACTGTAACAGAAAGATCTATAGATCTCATCTCCCAATATATGAGTTCACATTTCCTACTAAATCTATCAAACAAAATACATACAAACGAAGAAAACAAAGACAAAAAGTGTCAGAAAATCTCACATTGATCAAGAAATCCCGAAAACGAACAGCACTCTTTGGACAACAGAGGCGGGATGCTATCCGCGCCCAGTTCGTTCTCTCGAGACTAACGAACGAATGGCGTGCAATTTTTTCAAGCCCGATATCAGACCCAGTTTTCGACACGATTACCCGTGGAAGAAAGTCGCCGGCGATAACTTCACGGTTCCCTCGGCCAGGCACACACAGTTGATAAACGATGATTTATCGTGTCTGCGTGGCCGCGGAACGCACGCGAGACTCTATCGCATCGTTGCTTTAGCCCAGCCCCGGGCCACGTGTCCAAGACGTTTACTATTAATAATCTCGCGACAACGGTGAGTCACACCGATGCGTTTTTTCCGCGGTGTGGCGCGATTAATCCGCGCTCGCGCGCGGCCAAACCGTTGGGAAACTCGCCCTTTCGCTAATAACTCTTGCCTCCTACGGTGTTTATAAGTGTTCGTTGAAAGCTTGCACACAGTGAAAGAATCTGCGTATGTGTGTGTGTGTAAGCGTTGCGGTAGGTGAACTCGAGTTTATTGGAGCCACGAATACGGTTCAAGTTACGAGGTATACGTAGTAAAGTTGAGAGTCGCCGTGATCGTTCGATGGATGGGCACATGCTTCTCTGTAAATCGGTGTATAACGTGGAAAATTCAAAGGGTATCTCGAGGGTCGGGTTTATTGGCACCTTTCGTCAGATCGATCCGATTTATCGTTTCTTCCACGAGGTTTTTCACTTCGACGTGGGCTATGTGTGTCAGTGGTGCGCGGAGTAATCTGTGTCTTACATTTAGTAGCAATTTCTACGTCTTTTTTTTATCGATGCAATGTGTAGTTCGAATTGTACAGTGAAATTATTAAGAATGCAAATTTTTTGAAGTGTGAACCACCCTAATGTGGTCGCCTTAAATTATTCTGTATTTAATGGATAGAGCAAAATTTTGTTTCACGTTGAATAATGTGGTTGCAAGAATGTTTTTTATTGCTGCAATGTGTATTTCGAATGGTATAATGCAAATATGATTCTACTGAATTTATCGGACCTTAGATAATTAGCAGGTGTTAATGGACCAATCAAAATTTTTTCGAAGAATTTCTTCTATTGGTGCAATGTGTATTCTGAATTGTGTAACGCAAATATTGTTCGCGTAGAGTGAAACTATTAATGCAGACATTTTTTAGGGTGAACCACCTAATGTGATCACCATAAATTATTCTCTTGTTAATGGATAGATTATAATTTCTTTGATATCGCATAATATGGTTCAAAGAGTGTATTTTACTTGGTGAAATGTATAGCTTGAATAGTACAATGCAAATATGATTCTGCTGAATTTACTGAACCTCAGATTAATCACCTTAGATTATTAGCAAGTGTTAATGGACCAGTGTAGTTGAAAACAATTTGTTTTCACTGTTTCAATGTATAATTTGAATGGTCGGTGTCAAGTGAAATGATTAAGAGTGTAACCACCTAACTTAGAATACTGGACCGTTCTAATTTTTCTTTCGAAGAAGTAACCCTTCGAAGCTTCTCGAGGGTACATTTCGTACAATCCGATATTTCTCAAAAATGTTCCTTGATCTTCCCTTACCTTTCACCTGCTGCACGGTGGTGAGCTTCCGTTCCCAAAGATCGTCGAACGGATGAGACGTGGCTGGCTCGAAGTCCCCCGTGTACACTCTCATGCCGCCTCCGGTCGTGTAGCAACACGTGCACATGCACGAGTGATATCTGAGTCTACCCTCGTCCAGATAAGGATGCGCCAGTGCATCCACCACGGTGATCCTCTTGTCCTGTTTAGAAGTTGGTGAAACGGGGTCATTGAACGAAATTAATAGAGCAACACTCGGAAACGATCGACAACTTCGGGGATATTTATCACGCTAATTAACACGTTCCCTGTCGCCTGGAAGTTGCGACAAGCACACCATGTGTGCCATAAATTCCTAATTCTCAGACAGACGTAGCTTTCACGAGGATTTTCGTCGTTTTAGTCAATTTTTCGAAGTCTGATCACACGAAAATGACATCAATTTTTAACGTCGCGTGATCGATCGACACATTGTCGACAATGGCACACAGGGCAAACGCCACTCTGTGTCAGATGACAGCGAACGTGTTAACAGTGTTACTTTACAAAGAACAGAAGAAAAGGGTTGAAACCCTTGGTGGGTCATTTCTGACCCGGTCAGTCTACTAGCTTTGTCGTCGACAATGGCACGCAGAGTAACTCGCTCTGTGCCAGGTAGCAGCGAACGTGGTAACGGTGTTACCTTACAAAGAACACAAGGAAAGAGCTAAAAACGAAAATTCACGTTTCTTTTAAGGAAAATTGCTAATGGGTCATTTTTGACCCAGTTAGTCTTCCCACTCTTAAGACACTTCGGGAGTCAGCGATAACAATTAATTCAACGACTAACCTACCCACTGTACCTCGAATATTCGATCGCGGGTTCCAAAGGGTTGCTAAAATTTACACGAACTCCCGGTAACAATACCATCCCCAAGTTCCCAGTTACAATTTCACGAGATTCATATATCAATTAGTAAAACGCGAGTTTCGTTGCTTCCAAGTCACACACAACCTGACACAAGTACACAGGAGAAACAGTTCTGACACGTTTCAAAAGCAGTAAACTTCCCAACTTTCCCCTACTATTTTTCGTCTTTCCTTCTACCCTTCATCTCTCCTCTTCTTCTCCTCTCCGAAACTTCGGATTCTAATTAAACAACCACCGGAAACCGTTCTCCTTCCCGTCCCTCCGCCGCGTGAACGTATTAGAACACCGCAGAAAACTTCTCCAAAGAAGTCACGATGAATCAACCGAAGGCTCGCAACTTCATCTCTCGATTATTCATTCCGCCTGTTTTGCTATACCACGCCGTTATTCAAAGCGCGAGCGTTTGATGTCTTAACGTCAGCCGCGTTAAACGACCGCGCACGCGGTTTTACACGGTCGAACCTTGTCGTATGAATTAATCGGACGTTTCGAGGCAGGGATTTGGGAAAGTAGGCCCCGCGTTGGCGTGTTTAACACGTTCACCGTGCTGAATGTGGTGTAAATATGTGCAGTTTATTGCCGGGCACGTGAAAACTATAAATGTCTCCGTTTTTTGTTTTGATTTTCGCCAGGGATTTTATTGAAATATATTTTATTTTATGGGGATAACGCGGAGAGAGGGAATATAGACGTCTTTAAAAGTCCTTTCTTCCGTGTTTTTCGTCGGTTTGCGGATTAATACTCGTAACTGTATTTCCGTAGGAGAAATTAACTCTTTGAGCACCGATGAATATTTCGATTCAAATTTTCACGGAATTTTTGTGGAAGTGTGCCGGAATTTTTGTACAATAATAATGCAGGAACCTAGGAAAAAATATCGAGGGACCCAACCGGGAATCGAACCCGGGACCTTCGGCTTAGCAAGCCGTGGCTTTGCGCGCTACGCCAACCACTCCCTCTCTATTCTCCCTTGTCGGTTGCCTATTTGGGAATGGAGGCCCCGATACTACACTAATAATACAGCGGAATGAGGAATAAGCTTTCGCGGGAACAATTCTATCGTGTTCTTCGTTCTTTAGTGTTCAAAGGGTTAAATGTTTCTTATCGAAGCGTAATTTCGAACTGAACGTGAAACACCTGTCAATTTAATTCCTGCGACGTCAATAATCGCCCAAAATTCCTTCGATTTCGCCGAAATTCGTCCACCTTTTTTCCACAATTTTTTCCCATTTTTTTTTTGTTTTTTATTCAACTGAGAACGAGGGACAGTTGGCAGTAAAGATTTTATTGCAAGTTTAGTTATAAACGCGGTGCTCGCGAACGCTTTACGATCTCGCGACCCTCGTCCGAAGGATTTTTTATGAACTGTCACGAGCTCGACAGTTTTCAAATATATGTAACGCGCGTGAGAAAAAAAAAAAGAAGGAAGAAACGACGCGTGTTGTAATTCATTCGGTGGACTTTTCGAAGGTTCTCGAAAGGAATGCGGGTGGGAATAAGGACGATGATTCAACGACTTATCGCGTCGCCACAGACGTCGATAAGGGTGGTTAAGAACCGATAACGTCACGCTTCCTGTAAGGGGAACTTGGACGTCTCTCGGTAAACAGAAGGAACAAGTTTTCGAGTAGATTGTGAGGACTCCTTGCTAAGAAGCTGACCAAGTTTTCGAGTTAGTCTACTCCGGAACTTGTTTGATATCGTTGTGGACGTCGACTTTTTAGGTCGTTGAATGTGAAATGGCTGTGTTTGCACGCTTGCAGATTTTTGTTGGTCTTTTGTGTTGGAATTATGTCGGTTGTCGTGGGGAAAAATTAAAGTACTGTTGATTGTTTTAAATTAAAGAATTGTTTCACTTGAGAAGATAGGGTAAATTTGTGTTGGAAGGTGAAGATGGATACTAATTGAATTTGATAGATTTTCTTTTGCAAATTCAGAGTGGGACCACAGTGCAGACTATTTTCTGACAAAAAAGATATTTAATAGCGAGGGAATATTTAAGAACACAATGTTTGAGAAATAGAATTTAGTTGGAATACTCGAGCTCAGTTTTATTAATAAAATTTAGTATTAAACTACGTTATTGAGATTCAAACTTTCCTTTATATATCCGCCATTTCACATGCAGAGACATAATAATTCATTCGACGAAAGTTCGTGTTTTTTCTGCAGAAAGGTGACAGAATTAAATGCTATTTAATTCTTCCTATCCTATATGTTCTCAAACCTTTTATTCTCCTCCATTTCCCTCAAATAGCAAATGAATAAAAATTCACTCAAGTATTCTTCAATTTTCCATAAATCACAAATTTTGCAACTCCCACTGAAAATACTATCCTCAATTTTCCTCAAACAGCAAATAAATAAAAATTCACAAATTTTTCAAAATCCATAAAAAACACTCTCCTCAACTTCCCCCGAACATCAAATAACAAAAATTCACCGAGCAACCCTAAACACTCTCCCACCCATAATTCATTCCCATTAGATCGCGATTATAATTACAAAGGACAGAGAGAAACGCGTGTACGTGTAGGTGTTCAGGGAAAGGGGCGAGAGAAACTTACAGGATCGAAGACTAGCATCTGGCAGAGCAAATGGACGGCCTCGTGCGTCGCCTGGCTGCTGAGGGTGTAGAGGGCCGTCAACGAGGGTGGCTTTGGTGCGCGCCTCAGCATGTGGGATCTCGCACCCTCGCACGCGTACCTCATATCCTCGAGGGTTGGCGTGCCCAGCAATTCCGTGATCAGTTCCAGCTGCAAAGCGAACCAAAACGTCCTCGACTTTAGAACACGGTCCTACTCTTACAGTGTCTCCGTAACAACTACGGAACTTCAGGTCGTATACTCGTGCAGAAGCGAACGGAAAGGTTAGACTACCTTTGTCTCTGTCGCTGGTCTTTGCGAGTTTGTACTAAATCGACGGTACTTGGTGAATACTTTTTACCTGATTCGTGAATCCATCGTTGAAAAGGTATTTTGAGGAAAATTTGGGAAATTGTTAGGCCTATTTGACAATGTTAATGCTGTATCATGAATTAGAATGTGGAGGAATTTTTTGAATTTGACGACACTGATTGGTATTTTTTTCCCCTTACCTTTGCATTATTGTATTTTATCGTTAGATTATTATTGATTAATGAAGACTCCTTTTAGGGACTGAGTTGAGCTTTGCCTCTTGCACCCTTAAAGTTCTCAATTTTTATGTTGCTAATATTATGATAGTTTTTAAGAATTAAAATATTCTATTCTAAGAAATTTTTTACACCATTAATTTCCCTTTTTCTGCCAATTCTTTCGTCAATCTTAGACACCATTCTATTGCAATTAGTTTCTTTGGCAATTTTCACCTACTCTCATTCTCCTATACTATTCGATGAATTCTAAATTTTCTTAGGTCCATTTTATATTACTAAATTTCCCTTTCCCTAAAAATCTCTTGATAAATCTTAGACACCACTCCACTGCAATTAGCTTCGTTGGTAATCTCTCTATTATGGCAATTTTAACCAACTTTCATTCTCCTATACTATTCGAAGTATTCCAATGTTTCTTAGGTCAATTTCACACTATTAAATTTCCCTTTCCCTAAGAATCTCTCAACAGATCTTAGACTTCACTCAACTACAATACTCAATACCCATCTCATCACAACGAGAGATTCACTTTTCCCCTAAACGAAGAAAGAGTTTGTCATAAAGAGCTAAGTATCCTACTTAGCTGAGAAGAGCAGAAAAGAATTCTTCCGATATTCTACGACACGCTGAAGATTTAACAGTAGAAGGACTAACCTGTTGCACAGGACTTTGTGCCTGGAAGAGGATCCGCCGACGCAGAAGCTCGCCGAAAATGCAACCGACGCTCCAGACGTCTACAGCAGCGGTGTAATGCCGCGCTCCCATCAGGATTTCCGGTGCACGATAATACTGCGTCACCACTTCCTGGGTCATGTGTTTGTTCTGGTCCGGTTCTTCCACTCGTGCAAGACCAAAGTCGCAGATCTGTTTCGCGGAGAATGCGTATAATATTTGTGGTATTGATTTACCGGTGGAGGAATTGATCGTTTCCTGTTGGTCATTTCTCGACGCTTGGTATTACGGTACGATAAGTGGAGGGTTAAGGAGATTTTGATGATAGGGAGAAGTTAGGGTACTTACCTTCAGTACGCAGTTGCTGTTTACGAGTAGGTTCCCTGGTTTAATGTCCCTGTGCAGGATTCTGGCTGAGTGAAGGTACTTGAGACCTGAAAGCAGAAAAGGATTTTTATGAACGCTGGAATTTCGAAGGTTCGTGTATGCGAATTACGGGATTCTGCGAAGCTTCCAATTACGCAAATTTCGGAGGTTTCCTGGTTTTTCAGGTTTTTAACTTTCGAGTGCTCTGATTTTCGGGTTTTGCGAATCGTCGAGTTCTTAAGTTCCCCAATTTTTGAAAATTGAAAGTTTTTAATTTTGGAATTACCTAATTCTCAAGTCCCTGAGTTTCCAGATTTCTCGAATCCTTAAATTTCCAAATTCTCAAGTTTCTAAGCTTCTCCAATTTTCATAATTCCAAGTTCCCAAGTTTCTCAAATCCCCAAATTTCCAAATTTTACAAATTCCCAAGATTATAAATTTTCATAATTCCGAATTCTCAAGTTCCCAAGTTTCTAAATTTCCCTAATTTGCATAATTCGAAATTTCCAAGTTTCCAAATTTCTCGAATCCCCAAATTTTCCAAATTCCCAAGTTTCTAAGCTTCCCCAATTTTCATAATTCCAAGTTCCCAAGTTTCTCAAATCCCCAAATTTCCAAATTTTACAAATTCACAAATTTATAAATTTTCATAATTCCGAATTCTCAAGTTCCCAAGTTTCTAAATTTCCCCAATTTGCATAATTCGAAGTTCCCAAGTTCCCAAGTTTCTCAAATCCCCAAATTTCCAAATTTTACAAATTCCCAAGTTTATAAATTTTCATAATTCCGAATTCTCAAGTTCCCAAGTTTCTAAATTTCCCTAATTTGCATAATTCGAAATTCCCAAGTTTCCAAATTTCTCGAATCCCCAAATTTCCAAATTTTACAAATTCCCAAATTTATAAATTTTCATAATTCCGAATTCTCAAGTTCCCAAGTTTCTAAATTTCCCTAATTTGCATAATTCGAAATTCCCAAGTTCCCAAATTTCTCGAATCCCCAAATTTCCAAATTCCCAAGTTTCTAAATTTCCCTAATTCTCAACTTCCCAAATCCTCAAATTTCCAAATTCCAATATTTCCCCAGATCCAGAAAATTTCACGCGACCGTAGAGTCACGACCATCACACACGTTCCACCAGACAATCAAACTTCTCGACGAGCCATTATCGTTCTAAAACCTGAAAAGGCACGTCCACGTTTCTCATCGCGAGGAGCGAGATTCACGCGACCTCGATTTCCACAAAATTCCTGCGCCTCGTCGTTAGAGGCCTCTCCTCAGAGTTCCGCTCGACAGGAACGTACACACATGCGTCTGTACGTATGCATTCACCGTCAGATTATCCCACATTTAACACGTATCGTCACACATATCTCCGCTATCTAAAATGGTGAAAATCTGAATTTAATCCGAAAGTATTCACCGTTCGATATACATACATATGTATATATATGTATATATATATATCATTATCCGTTACAAACTAAAACAACAATCAATCCATAATACATTTATGATCGCGGTTATTACCAGATGCTTTTAAATGCATCGGATAAAACGATAGCAATACCAATATATAGAGACTCAGGGAGGAGGATGGTTGGTTCATGGAAACGGGGTTATTAACATTTTATTGAACGGAACAAGTGGAACGATGGAATCGCGGCCCCCAAGTGCTCGTCATCGACGACAAATTGCATCGGATCGCGGAACGTCCTTCGTCGATGGTAATTTCGCCGCGGTACGCGCGCGCCCAAAACCTGTTTTAAATTGAAACCCGGATCGAACAAGAAACCTGTCCTTATTATTAACGAGAGATAGACAGTAAGAAGAAAAAAAGGAAAGAAAAAGAAGCTCTCTCGAGAAACTCTTCCGAGATTTTTATACTGCAACTACGAATCGACTTGGAAATTGACCAAGGGAGAAGTCAATTTGCTTGCGAGTTTAATCGAATCAAAGAAGAAATGAATTTCCTCTGTTTGGGTGATATCGTTAGAGTAGCGAAACAACAAATTAATTTATCCAGTGAATTTTTACTTTTTTAATTTTTTTTAGGTGTAACGAGATATTGTCGCGTTTTCATTGTTCAAATCAACCCCTTTCCACGTCAGATTCTCACCCTTGTTCATTTTTGTACGCAGTTCTATAGGAAAAACCAGCAGGCGAAACGATACGTGTCCAAGGCGACGATAGGGAGAGTATAAAGCGAGTTGAATACCGAACAGATTACCAGGCCACCCTTTGAAGCGCGATTCGACGATGGGAAAGGGGTGGCAGCTTGACTAACGGACGCCAGGCATCGCGGTGCTACGGCTAAACGCTCGTGTAATCCCTTCTCAATGGACACGCGTGTCGCTTGGCTAAAGATTTCGTTCGGGATAACCGTTCGACGGGTGTAGCGATTATTTCGCGGTCGTTCCGGAGGAATACGGTTGGAATTCGTTCGAGAAATAATTCATGTACAGTTTTAATCCGTCCAGGATGAGTGTATTTACTGTATTTTTACGTTAGTTAAATCGAAGCGTAAAATTAATAATAAAACAATTTAATATAAATATTTGTTTTAAGTTTATTGTTGTCTATTGTAGAGTATATAGGTAGAGTAGTATTACAAATAATGAGATCTTTTTACGAGAATTATTTTATCAAGGACTTCTATGTTATTTTATATATTTTTATTAATTTCAGCTTTTTGCTTGGTTATTTTGTTAAATGACAGAAGACTAAGGGTTAATAGTACTTCTAAACATTTGTTAAAGAAACAATTTGTAGGATCTGGGCATCCATACAGTTAATAGGATTAATAGGAATAAAAAACACCGAATGGTGTATTGGTCAAGGGCCTACGGTCCAGACTGTCAATCCAGAGGTCGTGGGTTCGATTCTCCCTTGGGTCTCTCAAATTTTTCCTCGGTTTTTTAAAAAGAATTTCAAGTAGCATACATTCCTCACAAAGAGTAAGATACACAGACATCATTTCGAACAATTTTAAATCACCTTTCCGACTCGCATAAACAAAACCACGTTCTCTCACTTCACCAGCATTCGTACACAACTTTCCTTCAAACCCCCTTCCACCCTCGTGTGTAAATAAATACGCATTAAACGAATTCCTGAAAACACAGCATCCATCTCATAATACGCATTTACATCGCCACAAAACGGTTTCGCCTCCCTTTTTCGCGTAATTATTTCGTCGGTCGCGTGAGCGCCACCCTTTCTTCCGTGTCATTCCCGCGCGCGCGGGGACCGATCGAGCAGTGCGACTCCGTCGTTCATCGCCGACAACCACGTGAAAAAACGCGAGCCTTTTCATTTTCGCAGCCGCTGCTGATGAGCGGTTGGAAAAAAGCCGTCTGACCGATGAGGGGCGAGTACAGAAGAAGGGTTGAAGGAAGAACGATGCGGAGGAGGTGAAACGTGTGTGTGGTGCACGGGGGAGAGTTAGAAGAAGAGACCACCTTCTGTCGAGGGAAAGAACGACGAGGGAGAGAGAGAGAGAACGTGCGTTAAGGGACGGACAAGGAGAGATAACGCGTTGTTAAAGGACGCGATAGAGATGGAAGTAACGCGCTAAGGGCTGGAGAGAGAAAGACGGGGATGTGAGAGACGAGAGAAAATGCGAGGAAGGAGGAGAGAAAAGGAAGATAAAGGGAGGAAGGGGGAGAGGAAAAGAAGGGAAAAATAGAGCAGAGAGGGGAAGTGGAAGATAAAGAGAGCAAGGGGTAGAGAAGAGGAGAAGGAGGGGAAGAAAGGGAGAGGGATATAACGCGTTAAGGGAGAAAGAAGAGTAAGAGAGGGAGGAGAGGCGAAGAAACAAGGGTGGAAGTCGGCGTGGAGGAGAAACAGGAATGACAGGAGGGGATTGGGGCGAGACGAGGGGCTGCAATAAGAGCAGAAACATCGGTGCCAGATGAGTGTGCCGTGAGTCATGCCGCATTCAGACCTCGACTTTTCTCTCCCCGCAATAAAACTCGGTAATATTACCGGGGTAATCTGCCCCGTGGGTGCGTCCGGTTGCGAATTCACCCGCCGGTAATTAAAGTCTCTCGTTTCGTGTACCTCTCTCTCTCTTCCTCTTGCACTCGCTACTGATAACTCGAGACACGGGGGGCGGTTATCGTTCGATGCACTCGTTTCTCCCTACCTTCTCCCCCTTTCTCTCTCTTTGTCGTTGCTTGCCTTTTGGGGTTGTGTATCGTCGCGCGTGAAAATGAATTTTTTCCACGACGAGGGAGAACCAGTTTCGAAAAGTTTTCGTCCGGTGTTTTTTTCAGAATTTCACAATACCTTCCCTCGCCGTGGGTGATTATACTTTTCGAATGCTAAAACACTCCTCGTTTCTCCTGTAAATTACCAACAATCGGTAGGAAATATAATTTCCACTGCCTCGCCGTATCACCTTGATCCACATCGCGCGAATTAAACGATCACACGGTGTCGAATTCGGAAATAGCCCCGGCATACACGAGTCTCTTCGAAACAATAATCATCTCGCGGATCGAGCGAACAACTGACACGGGGAGGAGGGAACAAACACGGAGAGACACGGCGAGAAAAAGAATTGACGCGGTGAAAATTTGTGCAATAGGACGAGCCGAGAGGAATCCTCGGCGATCGTATAATTCGAATTGTCTTCTGCATTATGTAACGAGACGGCCATCTTTCTTCTACCGGCCGCATTCATCGCGCGTGTCTACGAAAATAAAACGTCCCAGGGTTTTCTACGAATATACAGGGTGTCACCTGTCAAGCGACCGACCGATGGTGGCCTTACCTTTGCGGCTCGAGGACGCGTGCAGCTATTGTTCGCGCGCGAAAAGAAAGAGAAGAAAAGAGAGGAACTCTCTCGATTCAAAGGGAGACGCGCGCCTCGGATGGATCGTGTTTTGTTGCGAGAGAGCAGGTGTCGCGGCAGTTTCAAAATTGACCTCGTCTGAACTTTCTTCTTTCTCTTTTTTTGCATCGAGGAATATTCCTGATTCGTCTGATTTGCATCGAAATCAAATTCCTCTAGTTTTGTATCTTGCATCTCGTGTTGGGTTTTCGCTCGTTGCATAATAGTTTT